TGAGCACACACACCAGCGACAGTCTCACTCTTGATGCCAATAGTAAAGATGGGGTGTGACGACCGCTGAAACTTCTCACAGCCCATGCATTTGCTCTTTCTCATTGTCACAAACTATAGAGCTCCTCCAGAAGCCTGGCCTCACCCCTGCCAGCTGACCGCTCACTTACACTCACTCTCTACGTCCAGACGCCAGTCTTCACAGGGGCGATCCCCAAACAGATCAGAACGCTGCCCTATTTCTACCTAAGCATCTGTCCACGTGACAAGACAGACACACATCCGGGTGACTTCTGACTCGGGTCTGAACGGATGTGTACTTCTGAGTCACAGGAGGTTGAAGAGGCAAACCCTTACATACACTCCAATCCTCAAGATCAAAAAGCAGTCTTGGAATCCCCGCTTTCAGTGTTTGCAGATGACGTTAGAAGCCATGGAGGTTGATTTCTAGAATAACTCTGAGGAAGCCAGACCTCTGTCAGGGAGCTGGGGCCTGTCTTCCAAGTTCAGGGGCAACCCGGTGCCCACGCAGCCCTCTCTGTCTGCAGCCCCGAGCCCTGGAAAGGGGCCTGTCCCAAGGCATGGGCCCCTCGGCCCCTCGGCTCTCAGGGGTTTGGCGGCAGGAATGGCCTTGTGGCTCCTCCGTGTCTGGAAACGGGCTTGTCCCTGAGACGGTGACGGAAGCCGCCTTCCTCAGCAGGCTCTCTGGCCCCGGGTCTGCAGCGTTTCAGAGAATGCCATCAGTGCCCCTTGCAGGACTGAGTTCGTTTCTCTGGTACACACAGTGGTGAGACACTGGCTTCTTTCCGACTCCTCCTCGGCCACGTGGGGGCTGCAGAGTCAGGCATCCCACCGGCCGTGCGTGGTGGCACGCTCTTCAGGGCACAAAATCCCGAGCGACCGCTGTGTGAAAGAAGGAAGTCTGCTGTTCCCTTAAACTCCAAAGTCGTGGTGTCAGGAGGGGGGCCTTCGGGAGGTGATGAGGTCACAGGGGTGGGAGGACCAATGCCTGACAGCAGAGACCCCGGGGAGCCCCAGCCCCACCTCCATGGGAGGACCAGTGAGCAGAGCCTTCCGTGAGCCAGCAAGCAGGTCCTCACCTATCCCGCCTCTGCCCTGGCCTCCGGTCTCCAGAGCTGGAGAAATAGATGCCTGCTTTTTACAAGCCCCCAGTCTGTGGCACTTTTTTTTTTTTTAACAGCAGCTGTAATGGAGTAAGACAAAGCCACACACGCAGTCTCAGAGGTGGGAATGAATCGATAGATTTATTGTTCAAGAAGGGAATCGGCCAGCAGAAGGTGCCGTAATTCACCTTGCAGCATCCAGGCTCGGAACCGGGTAAGTTAACCACTGATGCTTGGGGCAGAGCTTGGGTGCACACTCCACGAGTGCAGATGAAGAACGCAGCCTCCTGATTTCACAGAAACAAGCTTTGATTGGTTTTGATTTGTGCAGAAATTAAGTTTTGGACTGTCCTCTTACCCACTGGCATGTGACCTTTCCTTTTCTGCAGCTTGTGACAGGGACCCCGGATGGATGTCACATTCTCTGGGGTGTGGGGATCCCCTTGGGGGCTCTGCAGTGGACAGGGGCAAGGGGGGTGCTCTGAGGGGGCAGGACGGAAGGATGCAGTAAGTGGATGCCATGTCACCGTCCAGACACAATGTGGCGAGGCACCATGTCCACTGTTTCTAGAAACTTCTAGAAATTTACCTGAAGGAATTAAGTGTGGATGCTACTCAAGTTGCAGAGTTACACCTCTATATGTACAGCAAGGGGTGATTATAAAAGGATGCAAAAAGGAGTTCTAAAAGGGCAGTTCTTTTGAAATGAGCTTTGTATCAGATTACTATAAGACAGTCACACAGTTACATGGTGTGCAGATCTTAACAATGCCATGTAATGTCCTTTATTAAAATATTTTCACAACCTGCACCCATCCTGAAGAAGGCTTTAGGTATTGGCAGCTATTATTTTATATTCAGGTGTTTTTAAAGTTGCACAGTATGTCCGTTTTCTCTGTGTTTTGTCTCACATAATATCTGCCTAACATTCTTTGATTGATCATTTCATCCACCTTTTTTTTTCATTTCAGTTTGTAATTGACTTGCTGGTGCAAAATTTGGTTCAACAGAACAGTCCTCATAAATGCTTATAAATCACCAACTCATCACAACCGACTTAAAAATAGCATTCATGGGAATGAAGAAAAGCCATTATTAGAAATCACATCTCCTATAACTGAGCCAATGTCACAAAAATCACTGGCAGGCAATTTAATTTCACTGCATCTGAGAGCCTTTTCTCGAAATGCTTCTTCTGGAAAAAGTGGGTTTTCTCTTCCCTTGTAGTCACTTTGAATATGTGGCATTAATGCGCTTTTATCACTGACTTCAGATTAATTTCATAGAAACCTTCATCTTCCTCTCTTTCATGGCCATTTTGCCCATCATAAAGTTACTTTTCACACACGACACCCTTCAGAGAGAACGTCTGAGCCGTGAAATGGCTAAAGGCAAGGAGTGTGGGTCTCATCTCCAAAAAGAAGACTTCACTCATCTGTCACTAAAGAAAATTTAAGGGTTTTCAGTGAATGTCATACACCTTTCCTTGGCGCTTTTGAAATTGAGGCCAGTTAAGAAAAACAAGCAGTATCTTGGATGGGACCAGAGGCAGAGTCCCTCCACTGTTCCATACCTTTAACCTCAACCAGGCAGTAAAACGTCTCTCTGAGTTTTGTAAATGGTGGTGACTCATTTCACTGCAACAGTGTTCACATCATTATGAAGTGTTTTAAATTTTAATGCAACATGGTAGAATCAGAGGCTCAGAAGAACCTTTAAAAACTTGTCCATTTTCACCCTCTTGATTTAGAGATGAGGAAACTGGAAAACTCAGTTTGTTTGGAATATGTCTAAAATGACGAGGTCTGCTCCCAGTTACTTACTGTAGCAACACTGGGAACATAACTCAGACCTTCTCACCTTCCTTTCTCCCTCTGTTCTTTCCTCCTTTCCTTTCAGGAACCTTCTATAAATGATGCTTGCACACTCTCTCTGCTACGCCGTGTCCCTGACCTGAGGCATGAGATAGAGTCACTAGGGGCTGCTTACAGACAACAAGCCACGGGAAACCGGTGCCCACATGCCCCCAGGTGATGCTGACTGCGAGAGGCGGGTCGCGTGCTCGGGTTTCGGCGGGTGGGCTACTCGTGACCCCTGGGCCCTGCTCCTGTGGGCACACTGCTGCCCAGAGCCACGGGTGGTCCAGCGGCCACGTGGCTCTCTCCTGCGTTGCCCGACGGCTAGTGGGGCCTCCGTGGTGACCACGCGTGGGGACGGGGCATCATTCCCAGAGTGACTCTGTGGCCAAGTCCGCAGTCCTCCGGCTGGTCTCTCCCCAAGTCCTTCTAAGCATGCCTGTTCCGCTCACTGGAGGCGCCAACCCTCCCCTCACATCCAGACTGCAGAGATGGCCCACTAAGCACCTTCTGCCCCTAACAGTGCGGTGGCTTCTCCCCAACAATGAAAGCCAGACCCCCGTGCTCGGGCTGGGCTGGCCCAGGGGACACAGCACTCCACGCACCGCGCGCCCGCCCAGAAGGTCAGCTCCTGGGTGGACGCAGCCCCGGCGCCAGGACGTGGAGATGTAGCCTCAGGGCGCCAAGTCCTGCCGTAGAAAAGGGCGGGTGCCACAGACACGGTCGTGATGCTGAGCCGTCTCAGACCCAGGACAAACGCAGGTGAGTTACCGTCAATGTCTAAGGAGACAGACGGCCCATGAGTCACCCTTTTATCCAGAAGCTTCACAGAGTGAAACCAAAGCCACCGTATGCGGATTCATTCCAAACAACACAGCCAGAACTCCTTCTGAGAAAGAGTTTTTACAACAAATAATTGCATTGGCCAATTTCCGGATAGAGAAAGGCTTGGTTAAACTGGCCAGTTGGAAATCAATTTCTAGTTCAATCATAGCCGGTAACATACTGTCATTCCTTTAGGACTGCCCCTGGTTTCACAATTTTACACTGAAAAGCAAGCTTTTTCTGGTTCTAATTTCCTTTTAAAGAAAACACAGCTATACATAAAAGAACTCCTATGATTTCAATATTCTTGAAGCTAATCAATAAGAAACATATCACTGGCTAAAGATCGGATACAAATTAAGAAAAATTCAAATTTAAACAGAAAGCAGACTTATGATGTAGAAGCTGGCCTCAGTGCAGCCACAGCAGACGGACGTGAGAAGCCGAGGAGGCAGCTGCAACTCCTTCATGTGAATAACCTCGTTAGGTGGGCGGCCAGGAGCCCTGGGCTGTGGAGAGGGCATGTATTCTCAGCTAAGTTTCATGTGGATGCCACTCAACCGTTTGACGCTGAAATTATCCAACACTCCTCATTTCCAGCAGGAGCACTTGCCCCGTTTTATGTAAGCCTGACTCCATGTCAAATGGTGATGGCCGAGTCTGGCTCCAGCTTCACTGTGTCCATGCGCATAAAAATAAAATTTGCACGTGATTTTAATGAGCACTGGGGAAAATAGAGTATGACAGTAATTTGGAAGCAAGCACATAATTGCACTCAGCATCCAAACCACAGTGGAGCTGGCCTCGCCTGGAGAATTCAGCTGTTTAATGTCAAGTAACAGTTACCTGAAAAAACTGCAAATAAAACAGCTTTTCCCTCCCTCTGATTGACTGAGGGTTTTAGTGAAGGAGGAGGAAAGGAGAGGGGTCTCATTCTACACATGTAGACATGTCTCAGTTATGTTACTGAGGCCTTAATAATTAACAGTAATAACTATTTAGTAATTCATCCGTGATGATCTGGAGCAAGTGTGTTCTCACCTAGAGCGTCCACGGTGTTCACAAACTGCTATTTAGGAAAAGATCTCACCACGTCTACTCGGTTCTGACCAGGAGTCCTGAGGGTAACTACATGTGAAGCCCTTTGTGGGCAGGGTGCTGGCGTCCCGAGCAGTGCCCAGCGCAGGGTACTCTACCTGGGTCGTCCTCGGCTGGCCCCGGGAAGCTGATGCCCGGCTGGGCCAGGTCCGCGCCCTCCTCCTCTGCAAAGAGAGAGACAGTCACAGTTCAGTGCAGCTCCACGCTCCCCCCCGCAGACTCTCAGCACAGGACGTGCTTCCCCACCCATGCAGACGCCCCTGACCCGCGCTGGCGTCAGGGGCCGAAAGTGCAAGAGCCGGTGCTTTTCTGACGACAGCCCCATGGTGGCAGGTGCGCGTCTGCCCCATGGAGGCGCCCGCTCTGGGGGCCGTGCAAGGGGTCTCGGCTGTACCCCGGCTTCCTGCAGGTTCTTTGCCTGTGGACAGGATTCTGCAAACCCAGCTGCCCGGCCCACATGGGCCGGTGAGCCCTGGTGAGCCCCGCACAGCCCTGAGGAGGCGCCTCTGTCGTCTGGAAGCCTGGTATTACCCATGGCCTATTCTGCCACACTGGACGCCTGCAGTCACTGTTCTCTTGTGAATACTAGTTCATCTTAGGTCACTTTTGTCCATATTTCATTTCCTTCTGTTTGGAGAACATCCCAGGTCCTGGCATTGATTTTCCGCTGTCAGCTCTGTGGTCAGTGTAGAAATGGATGCTGCATCTTAGCATGTGATATACAAGGCCTCAGGGGTCATCTCTCCCTGGCCCTCCCTTCCCAGATGGACAGCGAAGCCAAAGAACTGAAAGCCCTGGCTGTTTGTCCGGCTGGATCCAGGGAGCTGGACCCAGAGATGCCAATGGCTGTCTGAACTGGGCTCGCTCAGTGAGCTGGGTGCCTCCGTCTGCTGGCTGCTCTGGGCTCCTTGTGAGCTGCTGGGCGGCCCAGGGACATCTGCCCCACGCCAGGGGGAGTGGGTACAGACAGCCAGAGATGGGGTCCTTCAGGTAAGGTTCATATACGTACCATCATTTGGGCCCGTATTTCTGCAAATATGACTCTCAATAGAATTACATATTCAGACCTGCGTTCATGCAGGTCTCCAACACTCTGGTAATTACATCCTTCTATCAATCCTGAACACAGTTATACATTACAGTCAAAGGAGGCTTTGTTTCAGGACACTATGATCACCTCAGTGACATTTTCACCATCTTCAAACCAGCAAAAATGCAGCGTCCACTTGCAGTGAGTATATAGGACGCTAAAGGAGAAAGTGGGAGGTCTGGCTGTGAAAGGTGCTCACACGAGTCTAGGGTTAATCATGGTGGTCTTTCATCTTATGGGGCCTCCCAGGCACTGCTTTTAAAGTACAAGCCTTATACGTTTCTACATGTCTCATAAATATCTGTCTGGATTGGGGTAAGTACTTTGCAAGAGAGCTAATTTGAAATACTTCACATAATTCAGTATGCCCCATTTGTAATGGCTAGGAGGACTTTCTGCACATCTGAAGTCCTGTTTTCCTGCTAATAAGCCATCAATGACAAAGCTGGCTGGTCAGGTGACCACATTAAGGATAATATGAAACTGAAGATGCCACATTTCATTTGTTTAGAAGCATAATGCAATAGGATGTGGAGTGCTAATTAAATACAGTTGCCATGGAGACCACGTTCACGTGGTCAGTATTATTAACTTGAAAACCTTCTACATGAGGTGGGTCACATAGAATAAAGGAGAATAAACTGAAACAAGGAACCTTAGATTCAGATCCCATTTGTTCTCCTTCAACACACACAAGCACAGAAACAAAGGGACGAGTTTTCACAGTATGAACTTGAACTATGAGCTGACATCACACAATGACAAAACGCCCAGCGGATGTGGACGGACAGACAGCACCCAGCATGTACCAACCACCCCTGGGCTCCCACCAGGGCAGGTAGGGCTCATCACTGGAGGACGAGGAACGACCCGCGGTGTGCAAAGGTCAGCCCTGGGTCGTGACGCGGATGTGACCAGTGGCTCGTCCCTGCTTCAGTCACGGTGAAGGGAGCCTTGGGAAAACCCTCCGGCCGCACATGCGGAGCGCAGGCCGAGGGCAAACACCCTCGACGCCTCTGCTGCTGGCTCTACGGCCTGGCCTCAGAGCCGCGTTGGCGTCATCAGCGGTCCAGCCCTGCCTCACCGCTGGCTTTGTCCCCTCAGCTCAGGCCCCGCGTTCTCGACACTCAGGCCAGCCCAGAGCCCTGACTGGGGCACCATGTAGCCCATGCGCAGGGGGCCAGAGGGTGGGGGCAGGGCGGGCACGGAGGGTCAGGGGTCAGGCCTTACACATGTGCTCCAAGTGTCAGGGCATCAGCGCTGCAGTGAGGACCAAGGACCAGCGAGGGGGTGGCGTCACCGGGTCCTCGCCCGAGCTCCACGCGTGTGGTGCTGTCCCTGCCGCCGCCAGGCATCCAGCACGGTGGGCCCCCCACCCCGTGTGCGTCCACCAGTCACCACCACCCACCCCCGGGTGTGATCCCTGGACGTGACTGTGAGGCGCGGCTGTCCTTCCAGTCTCGGTAAGTCAGGATGGCCCAGGACCGCTGGGCCGCTGCGCTTCCCGGCAGACGGGGTTACCAAGCTACCCCCCTGACTGCAGTGTGACTCCCCCGCAGTCCCTGCAGAATCGAGGGTCTGAGAGGTGTTTTCAAATGCAGTCTGCACAGAATTCCCAGGACGAGGAAGGATGCTGTGGGCAGCCTGGGAGCCCCGGGGTAAGAGGCGCTGTGGTGGGGTGTCTGCTCCCCCTTCTCCTGCTGCCCTCACCTCCCCTGCAGAGCCCCAAAGCGGCTGTGACACATGCTCCCCCCCCCCCCCCCCCCCCCCCCCCCCCCCCCCCCCCCNCCCCCCCCCGCAGCAGGGCATCCTGGGGAGAACCACACCCACCTCCCACTGTGGCTGGGACATGGCACGTGAGCTGAGGGCAGCAGCACTTGAAGTTTCGCGATTAAATTCAGGTTCCAAGTCTGACTGGGGACCCCAGACCCTCATCACACCCACCTGTCCCTGGTCCTCCCTGGGGTGGGGCCCCTCTTCAGCCAAGCCTGGCTCAGCCCACCTGTGCTCCACCCACTTGTCCTTGCTTCACCTGATCCACCCCACACTGAGTTCACTCACACCCCTGGCCCGGCTCAGAGCCTCTGCCAGTTACACAAGGTCACTGGCCATCAGGCTCCACGAGGACTGAGCCGCAAGCCCCTGCACCGCTGGCCTTCAGTACCCCCTGAAAGGGGTTCAGGGAGGAGGTGCTGTGTGCTCCAGGAAAACTCATTAACAGGCCTTCAGACAGATACTTTTAGGAGACTTTAAAACCCAAATTCTTGCCTCACCCCTTCTTAGAAAAGCACTAAAACCATCAAATAAGACATCCGCTCCTGTGACCAGGAAAGCCTCCACCTGGTGTGGGCTTGGCCACACTGACCCTTTGCCAGGGTCGCACATATGCTGGCCAGACCCCCAGCTCTTGGAAGTGGTTCCTCGAGCTGGTGGGAGGCTGTGGTCCCGGCCACAGTCCTTGGTAATGACCCTGACCTCACGGCTCTCAGGCTGTGCGCTTTTCCCCAGTGGACACCTGCCGACCTCCCGCACGGCTGCTGAGCCGAGTGAGGCCGCAAGGCCAGCGAGGACTTCTCGGTTCCGCCCCTCCAGGATCCCTCCCTACTGTTTGTCTATTTAAAGATGGAGATGGGGGAGAGTAGGGTCAGGACAAGGGTTCTGCTGGTGGAAATGTCTCCTGACCACGCATCCTCCTGATGGACACGGAGCTGCGGAGTCAGGGTGATGACCTCAGGGGGTGTGACCACGTCTCCAGGCATGACACGTGGTGGCTACCTCTGGATGCACCAGGAGATGCTGGGTGAGTTCAGCTCGCTGAAGGAGCACCCACAAAGCCTGCCCTCTGTGAAGTGTGCTTCTGCAGAAAGCACACTCCAGGCTTCATCTCAGCCGCCCCCTTAATGAGAGGACTGCAGCCGCACAGATTCGGGACCATCTCTGCTCACGAGGACAATGACACTGATGAGCTCCCCATCCCTCCCCCTCCACTGCAGTCACAGCTGCGCCTGCATCCGGCCCAGCAGGACCGCTATGGACGGCTTTTCTTTGAAACCCACAAAAATGCTCATAATTTTACTTTGGACCAAGGATCAACTCTCAGAAGATGCTGTCCTGAAGTCTGCAGAAATTTCACTCAGAGTTAAATGCCACTTAAATCAGGTGAGAGCAAACTCAGGTCATGAGAGGCAGCCCCAGGGATATGGGCGAGGATGGGGGTCTCCCAAGGCAGGAACTCCTGAAGCCCCTGTGGGGATGTCAGTGTTCACACCCCTGGTTGCCGCTGGGGAGCTGCTTCCCTGGTTAGAAGGCTTCCAGGCCCTCATCACGCATTCGAACAAATCACAAAATCATCTTCCACAGGAATTCACAGATGACTGAGGGCGCACGTGCTTTATGTTGAATTTCTCTGGACTCATAAGAAAGACAAAAAAAATGCTGAAGTAAAAAGAAGACTTTCTTAGGTAAAAGAGAAAGCTTCAGGGTGAAACTTATCTGTCTGTCCTTAAATGTGAACATAACTCACTTCAAAAGTGGCATTAATTATATTTTATATAATATGTTTGAAATCTAAATTCCAAATGAATGTAGTGTCAAATCCTTTGTATCACCTTCTGTATTTAATATGGTTTTACACCTAAGTTTGCTTGAAGACATGTTCACCACATTTAAACTGGAAAAATAGTTTTAAAGACAGTTGTAAAACGTGAGCAGTTTACAAAGATTAGAAAAAGCTTCCCTGCACAACTGAGCTGCCCCTGCCTGCCCCTGACTTGGCAACCATCTCCGAGCTGGGCATGAATGAGCAGAAACCACAGGACTTCTCTGTCTCTGAAGGGTGGTTTTCCACTGGTGTATCAGAAGTCCCTGGGTATGGCAGCCAAGGACACCCAGACACTTTGAATTTCAGGAAAGAAAACAGTAACTTTTCAGGAGATCTCAAACAGAATTTTTTGTGTGTCTGAAATTCAAACTCACCAGGGCATCCTGTATCTTTATTTGTTAAATAAGTGCCCTGGGGGCTTTGAGAAGAATGTGAACACTCTTCCGGGAGGTTTTGGGTGAAGAGGAAAACCC